GGGGGGCAACATAGATATTTATAATTCTCTATTTAAGGAACTTCCGAGTATTTTGGCAGAAGAAGCCGCAAAAAATCCTTAAAGACTTTCTACATACATAAGAAAAGCTGATGTTTCACAAGGTACCGTCGACGCTTGGAAAAGAGTTCTAGGCAAAAAATGTCCAGACGGAATACACACGTACGCACAAAACCAACAAGGAGCCATTTCCCTTCTTGATCCAAAGCAAGGTTTAGTGTTTCCTATTTTTTCAGAAGACAGAAAGCTTTCAAACTCTTTTTTACCCTGTTCCACTCAGAGTAACATACAAGAAAAAAAGCTAGGGTATATGTTTTTGAATCACCTCCCCAAAAAACATTGGCTTAAGCTATATAAAGCAATAATAAAGAACATGACACATGATAAAAAAACAGACCCTATTTACCGGCTTTTATCCGAAAAGCGAGCAAACCAAGCTATTTTTTGTACTTTTGGAATTGTAATTAAAACTTTAGGAATTAAAGAGCTTAAAAATTTATCCTGCAAAATTAAAAAAGAAAATCCGTTGATTGCAAAATATTTAAAGAATGCCATCCTTGCACTTTCTCAATCTTAAAAAGTAGCGACAAACGAAGGTAAAATACAATTTAAGGAGGGTAAAGATACTCCTCTTCAAAGGCTCAAAGGTTATCTTTAACCCATAGAGAAACCTTACGAACCCACACCCAAGATGTCGCTATCCCTTTACGTTTTGTGACTAAAGACTGCCCTTTTGCGCCTTGCGCTTGTGCATACATTAATAAACCGATGACACAAGAAAGGCCAGGTTGCCGATTGGCTTCATCAAGTCCTTGAGTGTGAACAGGGCTACCTAAACGTGCTTTTTTTCCTAATATAAAACTTGTCAATTCTGTAAGACCAGGAAGCTGACTTGCACCTCCTGTTAGAACCCACCGCATACATGAATACTTGCGAAACGGAGAGGGGCCTATTCTTTTTTTAAGCTGATTAAAGATCTCCTCAAGCCGTGCGTAAACTATTCTCGTAAGTTCTGCTTTTGGAAAGCGTGCTCCTTCCATATCACCGACTTCACCAACTTGCGGTACAATAATCATCTCTCTGTCACCAGACTGGCCTGCAATAGCACTTGCATGTAAGTTCTTTATACGTTCTGCTTGAGATAAAGGTGTATTAAGGCCGCGCGCAATGTCCTGAGTCATATTCATCCCTCCCAAAGGGACGTGACCTATCTCTACAAGAGCATTTCTATAGAAAAGTGCATAAGTTGTTGAGTTTGCACCAAAATCAAGGACCGTACACCCGAGCTCTTGTTCATCCTTTGTCAAACAACACAGTCCAAACGCTAATGGCTCTGCAACCAAAGTCGCA